AAAGAAGGTCTTAAAGTCTAGAAAATGGCCCTAACCATTTTCGATAGCTCAACACGAGGAGAGCTATCTGTCAAACAATAGCTCTCAAGTTCAATTCCACTCAAGTTGAAGAGTACATTGGCCACATGGTAAAGAAAGGAATCACCCTTCGGTCAAATATCAAGCCAAGGTCTTTAAGTCGAGAAGAAGGCCAACGTTTCGAGTTTGATTCCATTCAGCTTGAGAGTTCACCGACCACGTGGTCACGACAATAAACTACTTTTCGATCAAGCATCAAACCAAGATCATTAGGTAGAGAAGAGGACCAAGGATTAGAGCTTTCAATTTTGACTTCATTCAGCTTGAAAGCACATTGATCGCGCGATAGCAATGAGGAACTACATCCCAGCCCAGATTTCGACAGAGTTAAAGTCAACCAAAACCTTTGAGTTTGATTCCATTCAACTCAACGTACATTGGTCGTCGTGTTAATGACAAAGAATTGTCTTTCTATTGAGATTTTAAGTTCAATTGCAGTCTAGCAATGAGGAACTAGTCTCTAGTTAAAACCATCGCACTTTAATCAACCCCACAATTCAAAAAATGATCATTTGCAGAAATTCAACCCAATCCCTGAAGAAAGGTTGAATGACTCAACATTAGAGGTGTTACCTTGCATACGAGATCCGTTTATCATGAAAACTGGATGAAAACTCGTGTCCTTTTATCTTTGTCCTATTATTGTTACATGACATTGGACAAAGATGGGTACCTGTAGACCCATTTTCGTCCGAAGTTGTTCCATAGCTTTTATATTTATATATAATATTTATAATATGTAATGTGTCTATATATATAATATAGTTGTTGAAAATAAATAAATATAATATAAATAGTTTTTGAAAATATAGATTTTGAAAACGTGTATAATATATATAATTTTTGAAAACATATTGTTTTTGAAAAATATAATATATTACATTATTTTATCAAAATACATATATTTATGAAAACATTTATATATAGTATATTATAAAATAAATGTTTAGTATATATTATTATTACTTATTATTATATAATATTTATTGTTGTTGTTGTTGTTATTATTATATTATTATTTTATTATTAATTTAGTTTGTTTTATTAGGTCCAATTAAGGCCGAATCCCACAAAGGCCCAAGGAAGCAAGCATGCCTGACCCAGTAGACTGCTTCACCAAGCCCAACAGAAGGTTCAAGGCACTCTAGGGTTTCATTTTTAACCCTCAGTGCCACTCAATAATGACCGTTAGATCAGGAGGTTAATCAACAACTTGGATGGGGCAAAGGCTAGTATCATCTACTGTTAGAACTACCATAGCCGTTGGATCTACAACCAATCCAATGGCCAGGAAGGCCCCAGAAGCATCAAAGGTCACCAGTCGATCAAGAAATGATGCGTGAAGACCACGCGCTGACAAAGAACATCATACACGCCAAAACAGAAAATAATTCCAGAATATTTGAGCCAGTTTTAGCAAGAAATCAACACCAAATCAAACTTAATTCATGCCAAAACAATGAAATGAAAACATATCAAATGAAGATCAAATCGAATCCAAAAGAGGTAACAAGGATTGATAAAACAAACACATACAAAGTCAAAATGGGGGATGAAAAGGAAACCATAATCAAATCCCTCATCCCGATGATTGCGGGGTGAAAAAATACCAGACTAAAGGGAATTTGTCTCCCCAACACCTATAAAAAGCCCCTGCAAAACGAAAGAAGGCATAAAAGGGAGAAAAGAAAAACTTAGCTTCGGGTATGAGGGAGACCGTCTAAAAGTCGAGTCGTCATTGTCGGAGAGGGTAAAAAGTGAGCCATGCATAATTAGATCTACGAAGAAGGGGGCTTTGTTTCGTTATTTTGTGGATATATTTGAGTTCGTGGGGTCAAAGGATTCTTTTGAGGGTAATTTTGGGTTTTCGACCACCGACGGAGCGGTGGTGCTCGATGACCGGCGTAGTTTTCTGGTCGAGGAGGGAGAGAGAGTTGAGAGGTTTTTTTTTTAGAAAATAAGTGAAATGAGCTCAAAAGTGGGATTGGAGCATTTATAAATGGGGGACGAGAGTGCAAATACGAGAATTTTAAATTCTCTTTGCAATCCCTACAAGTTTGTTATGTAATCCATTTTGGTCCCTTACTTTGATTGGACCACTTATTTTCAATTTAACTTAATTTAATCCCATCATTTTTTTTTGTTTTCTATTTTAAATTCGTGCCCTCATATTTTTTTGTTTTGCAGCGTTCTAATTTCATTTATTTTTTCGTGTTTATTTTCTTTTTATCCTAACATGAATTTTTTTTTTAAGATGAATCTAGGTAAATTCAAAATTTATCAAAGGTAAATCAATTTGGCTCGAATTTAAATTTTTATTTAAATTATTAATTTTCATAATTAAGACAATCTGGTAATTGTATGATAACAAAAGGACAATTCAGGGGTGTTCAACCTTCCTCGATTATAATCGACTCTCTGGTAAGACGCATACTCGATAAATGGTAAGTAGGTGTCTGGTCTACCTAATTGAAAATGATCAGTGGGACTCCATCAATTCTATGTCGAAGCACGAACCCGGGACTGCCCGAGGGACCGTTGCGACAGATTCATTTTCACTATGGTGTGTAGCCAAATTGGCATGAGAGGGAAGACTCTCTTGAAAAAATACCTTTTGCCTAGCCTCGCACTCTAACAACATATCAATTAGAGCCTCATGTGACACCAATTCCCTGCAAGCAATGGCAATCACAGACTCAAACTCCATCGGCAAACCAGCTATAACTACACCTGTTCTTGTTCGGTAATAGAGCTTCCCAAAGAAGTAAGCATATCACAAATTACTTTAATCTTGGCTAAATACTCATTTACAGTCAAACCACATATCTTTTGGGATGTAAACTATGCCAAAGTGTAGAAATCTTGGCATTTGTAGATGCCGCAAACATCTTATTAACAGTAGTCCAAATGGCCCCGTAGACAACCCGTGAGATGTACAAGTACCTCAGCACACTGTAGACAATAACCAAGAAGCAAGTAGTTTGTCCTATTTGTGATACATAAGAAAACTAAGGATTCTAAATTATCGTTCCTAAATCAGTTGATAATTTGAGCAGGGGTTTTTCATCCTTAGAGATAAAATTCAAAAGCATAACCTCAATGATCATCATGATTTGATGATTCCAGAGAAAAACTTGGAACCGGTCAGCTTCACAACATACAACTTAGGAATCTGTTGAGCTGTCATAACGTGCTTGTGGAGACAGTATGAACTGAACTAGTCTGAGTGTCGAGAGTCATTTTATGGACAACACTAGTGAGGAAAAACACCAAACAGATTGCGTTCAACAATTGAAGAATAATCAAACCACACAAACAAAGAGCCTTGCACAAACTATAACCAATCATTGCAAACGCCTCAACAAAATGATGAAAACAACTTGACTGAATCAAACAATATCTCAAAGATTATCCAACATAGATCACTAGTTTACCCTTCTATCAATGAATCATCACGATCAAACATCCAAATGATCAAAAAAGGATAAATCTTATGAATATCAGATATTGAGATTAAAGCAACAATCAGATTTAACAAGAACATACAAAAACAATTCATAAAACAATACCAGTAACTAACGAGCAAAGGAAACCGGATAATCTACACCACACGAAGATCATCACACATATACAGTGGAGAGGGTACGGTCGGATCTTCAGCTAAAGATACCATGTCAAAAAACTAAAGAACAAACTGTGATGAAGAGAGAATAGAGAACGAGAAACAATACTCTCTTCATATTTTCATTCATAGGATCGTAATATCTCCAAGTTATACATGACCAATAGCTAATACTAGTTATGAAACGATCTAGCAACCTAACCGTCCAAGACTATCACCAGCTCATATCCTTTGTGGTGCAGCACAAACAACCTATTCTGCACTCACTCTATATCATACAAGATTAATAAAAAAAAATACAAACCTAAAATAAATTGATCAAAAGATTTTAAAATTCAGATTCATCCTAATCAAATTATGGTGAAAAAGTCACCTTGTGAAAGGTTTTCGTAAACCTTAAAGCCATCCCAATGCAAAACGTTACCCTACTGGCGGATCCACCCCTTTCGCCACTGGATATCCCCAATATTGACTCTGGTAAGGATACAGCGAGTGTGATCACTATGAAACTGCCCAAAATTTTGGAGAGACCTGGGTCCCCGCTTGATGACTTGTTTTGAAGAAAGACAAAAACGAGGGAGAACAGTTCAGGAAGGTTCAAACGCCGATGGATTGGATGTTATAATGACCGTAGATAGCATTCCTGGTATGGAGAAAAAGAAGGGTACAGAGTCGGGCACTATGTCTTATGCTGGAGTGGTTATTGGTCTGTCTTCACAAACGACGATTGTGGAATCAGTCCCCTGCCTAGACGATGTTATTGTAGAAGAAGGGGATGTGGTCATTGATACCAGTGGATAGATTCCCCCAGTTGATTTCTATGAAATGGCGCATGAGAGAATTGATCACAGTATGCATCGATCAATCATTGTTGGACTAGTTGGGCGTAAAATTTATACAAAACCCTTATGGACAGGATTTATTTGTGTGAAAGCCTAAAGTAAATCCCATGTAGTTGATTTAGACATTGATTATTACATAAATAATGTTCGAAAAAGAAGAGGATTATATCTATGTCCTTACTAATGGACCTTAGACGGTTTATGGGAGTCACCCGACAATCTAGCCGTGGAGTATAACCTTTTCAACTTCGGAAAAATTTCCTTCCCAAGTGATCGTTTGGGTGAGTTCCTAAATTACCTTACCGTTATTACTCGAAAGCTTTGTCAAGTGTATTATTGACGTTATTGGGAAGATGGTTAAGATAGATTATAAGACTTCATCAGGTGATCGAGGGATGTTGCGAGACTGACAGTTATGGTTAATCTGAATAAGCCACTTGTTCTGAGTATATAAATAGATGGTGTGGTTCAACAGCTTGAAAATGAGGGTTTACAACAAATTTGATGTACTTGTGGAACGTATGGATATTCGTCGGAGATATGTGGTTCTTCACCAGCTGCCAATACTCATTAAGATACTAATGCTAAGCAGTCTCAAGATATTCGTGTTGGGGATACTGATACGGGATCAATTTATGGGCCATGGATGGTTGCTGCTAGTCGGAAGAGACAGGTGCGTCGTATGCCCAATAATATTCGCAAGGGTAAACAAGTTGACAACAATACTCTGGGTTCTCGGTTATAAACATTTGAGTGTTTTTAAGAGGAAGGAAATGATGGAAATGATAGGCCTAACAGTGTGTAGACACTAAGTTTTTGTCCCATGTTTATTTTTATTTTTATTTTTATTTATTTATTTATTATATTATTATTATTATTAATACTTCCGGGTCCAGACAACTCGGTGCAGACCCGGCCCAACAGGCCCTAATGCATCTAGGGTCTCTGTTGAAGCTTCCAGCCTCCACTGCCAGGAGCCTCAGCCAGTTGCTGACACGCCTCAGTCGAAGCCTCCAAAAACACCACGCCGGCCGCACACGTTAATGCTCTAGGGTGAGTCACTACCATAGTTCGGTGACTCACCGAAAGCCACCCTTAGAACCGGTCCGAAGGGCATACCTCCATAGCCTATAAAAACCATCACCTGGGAAAGACATAAAGGAACGAAGACAGAGAAGAGAGCAAAACCCACACAAAGAGCACGCAACAGCAACAGAAACACAGAGCAAAATACGAACAGAAAAAAACGAGGAAAAACTTACCTGCTGTCACCGTGGAAGCGAACGTCGGAACGTCGTTTAATCGAAGGTAAAAACCTTCGGGTGTTTTTAGATCTAAGATGATCTAGAGGTTTTTAGGTAAAAGGGAGGCCAGATTTGAGAAAAGATGAGGCCAAGGGTCTATTAGGGACCAATTTTGGGTCTCCGACCGCCGTGGACGGCAGTGGACAGCGTCGACGAACAGTGGCCAGATCATCGGCTTTCCTCCGTTGAGGGATTTAAGAGAAAATCGAGAGCTTCTTCTTTAGAAAGAGAAGCAAAATAGAAAAATGAAAGGCTTAAAGCCTTTTCGGTTGGATTAAGGGTATTTATATTCCTCCCCAAAACCAGTATTTATATCCCTCCCCAAACGATGTCGTTTTGGGGAAAGACCTCTATGTAATTCAGGAATGGGCAAACCACACGCGCAGTCCCTCTGATTTTATAAACTTCTATTTTGGTCACTCGAATCAGATTTTTGCATATTTTAATTTGTTTTCGTATTTATTTTATTATAATTTAGTCACTGCCTATATATGTTTAAATATTTAGGGTAAATATCATATTTAGTCCTTTTAATTTTAATAATTTATATTTTAACCCCGAATAATTAATTATTGTTAAATTACACTGTTAATCCTTATAACTCATAATATTTGAATTAGGATCTTAACTTAACTTCGATATTTTACGTTTAATCCCTGATGTTTTAAATAATTTTATTTTTTGACTATAAATTTATTACTTTTTAATTAATTTAATTTATATTTTAGATATAAATTGACCTATTTCATAATTTGAGTTAAAGGATAATATTTATTTATTTTTCTATTACGAAAGAGACTGTCTTAAAGTAACTAGATGTCCTTTTCTGATATTTTTAAATAAATAAATACCTTAATTATAAAAAAAATAATATATATTTACTTTAGTTTTATTTAAATTATTTTAATATGATTTTCTTATCATATTCTTATTAATATTTATTTTTTTAATATTAAGAAAGGGGTTGTCTTAAAGTAAATAGATGTCATTTTCTGATTTTTTTAAATAAATAAATACCCTATTTTAAAAATCCCTAAATATATATATATTACTTTAGTTTTATAAAAAATTATTTTCATATATTTTTCTTTATAATTATGCTATTGAATATGAAATATAGGATCGTAAATTAAATATATATTCGAATTCTTATATTTCCACTAACAGAGACAATTTATAATCAACGGGTATCAATTTTGGGCGTTGTGGAGGTGCTAATCCTTCCCCAAACGTAACCGACCACGAATCCCTTTTTATTACTAAAAAGAATGAATTCCTAGTTATACGCATACTGATTTATCTTTTAAAATGATGTTTTCTTAAAAACTCTTTTAAAAGATAATTTTTAGGTATTCGACCTACCTAACCTAAAAAGGTCGATGGCGACTCCAAAATATTTTCTTAAAAAAGTAATTCATTTATTCACATACTTTTCCGCCAAGAAAAATTCGTGCCCAGGCGAAAACCGGTTACGATAGCTTGGCGACTCTGCTGGGGACCAACCTGGTCAAGCCTAAGTCGATTATATATATTGTCTCTATAAATTGAGAATTCAATTTTATTTAATTTATGATTCTTTTGATTTCTTTCAATTTATTTTAACTCTTGTATATTAATATTTGATTGATTTTTAGATATTAGGATTCAATTTTTGTGATGCTTTGTCAAAGGATTGAGAATTTCTCCTCACACACAACACGTGCATTGCATAAACATAAGCTCTATGCTTGAGCTCTTTTCCCTTCTAAGTGAGAGTGAAAGTGACATCTTCGTGAAAATTTATTCTCTGTGTTAGACCTAGTAAGTAGCTTTTGGGGTTCATATGCTCTATGTCTTCTTGAGAATTTATTCTCCGTGTCAGGCATAGGGAAATATGCCCTCTCGAATTGAACTTGATCTGCTTTATGCCTATAATGGGTGAGGATTGGGGGTTTACAACCCAAGGGGGCACCAACAAGGACAATTCGAGTACCTTTACTCCTAGAACTGAAACCCTGCAATAATAAACCGTAGAAATTCACCCGATCTAAGAATATTGAAACTCTGTCCATAGGTGTACACGAAGGAGAAATAAGCTATAACTTTTGTCTTTTAAGAAATGCATGTGAACTATAAATCATGTGGTTAGGTTAATTTTTTCCAAACAAAGCATGGAACTAGAAAGCATGAGGTTATGATTTATATATAGATACCATAGGATCTTTTCTTTCCATTAATTGGTACTAACTATTTTATTTTTTTCTTATTTTTATTTATTTTATACATGCATTTTATTTTGTTATAACTTGTTTATATTGATTTCTTTTGCTTGTATTGCATGATCATGGCATAACCAGAAGGTGTTGATTCGAGAGAGTGATCATCAAATTGAAAAGTTTTCATAAATGGACAAAAAAATTTATGATCAAGCAAACTATGACGCAGCCAAGGAATGGCGTCATAAGGGAACTCCGAGGATAGAGGAGAATTATGCACCTAAAGATCGCATGCCCGTTGAAGAGTAAAAGGAGATACGAGAAATAAGAGAGCAAAAAACCAAGATGATGGATAGAATATCTGTTCTGGCCAAAGAAAAAGAGACTCCTGCACAAAAAGAGAGAGAGCTCAATGAATATAATCTTACAATCTCATATATACAAGAGACTTTTGATCCTAACCAATTTGATAAATTACATATAGTCATCATTCATATTCACAAGTTGTCTAGAGATGCCAAGAAATGGTGACAACTGTAAAAGCTCCTAGAGATGAGAAGAAATCATGCAATCTGAAATCATCGAGGTTTAATATGCTTCTGACGTCGAAAACTCAGGTTCAATTCAAGACAAAAGGTGGTTCTCATTTTGATGTTATCCTTATATCATATAAGGAGTTGTATGAAAAGCTACTTGAAGCGCGATAAGCGGCTCCACATTATGTGAAACTGTGGTAACCTCCGTATCTGAATTGGTATGACATCAATGTTCATTGTGAATATAATTCCTGGGCTCAAGAACATACCATTGAGAATTGCCTTGCCTTCAAACATCGAGTCCAATGTCTTTTGGATCATGTAATCTTAGAGTTTATGATAAATGATCGACCTAGTTTGGTAACTGAAGGTCCTGCCAGATTAATACCAAAAGTGTTCAAAGGTAAGAGTATCAGTAGGGCATCCAGAAGAAAGAAGATTTGCTGATGAACGAGGCTCAAATACGTTATTTAAAGATTGAAAACAATAAATTGAGCACAGAAATGGAAACCATACATGAGGATTTCCAAAAGGTCATTCAAGCCTTTAAAAATATTGGTATAGGAAATACCTCAGAAGAGTGGATAACAGGGGTTACCAAACTAAAAAAGAGCTACAAGATACATGAAGGCCGAGCCAAAAAGTTTTTCATGATTTACGAGTTGCAGAAGAAATGCGCAATACAACCATCATCAATTTGGAAAAATATCAAGCTAAAAATCAAATGTTAAGAGGGACCATAGCCAACATGGAAGCATCATAGCAGATCCATCAGTATGAGATTGGTACTGAATTAAAAGCCACTAAAGCCAAGAACAATACATTGATGAAGATGGTAGATGATTCTGAAGATCATGTACAAGAACTCCGTAACCATAAAGATTCCCTCATAAGAAAAAATGGACAACATTCTCTACAACTCCGAGAATTAACACAAAAGATGAAAGAAAAAGACAATGTCATGAAGGAAGCTGCTACCCAAGCAAGCAATGTGGCTAATAAACTGGTTGATTTAGCTGGCTTCACGAGATAATTAAAGCAGATTGACAACTCCACACCTGAGCATGAGTGGAAGTTAATTTGGATTTTAAGGGAAATAGAGAAGTTAGGAGTAAAAGTTATCCCCTATATGTAAAGTTTTGTTTGATGTATCAAAACTTTTGTGTTCAATGAAATCTGTTTGAAGATGATCACTCTTGATTGATACCTTTTTCATATATGCATTTGCATTGCACAGTTTGTATTCCTATTTTTGCATTTTCGCATTTACATTACATTTTTATTTATTTAAGTATTGCTATATAGTTATAAAAACATATAAATAATTCATGAAAGGTTTTGTAACAAGAAAATCGATATCATTCATTCATATTATTGTACTATCATCATGAAAACAATGGAGCAATCTCATGAGGTATTACAAGATCAGTGACCAGAACAATTGACAGGGTTATATCAAGATACAAGGAATGAAACATCGGATTCTTTATAAGATGGATCGAATCAAATTATTCAGGTGATGACAACTGATAAAGAAGAGATAACTGCTAAAGGGAAACAATGTTATCAGATTAATGAGTCAAGAATGATAACATACCCTGGGGCATCCCACTTAAACCTAAAGAATAACCTCATTAA